TTGGATATTTATTTAGTGAGTGAGAGGAGAAGAAGGAAGAACAGAGAGAAACAGAGAGAGATGGGGGAAGGGGAGAAAAGAGGAGAATAGAGCGAGGCAGAAGCAGTCTCTTTGAGGGAGCAGAAAAGAGAAGAGACTCAAGCTGGAAGCTGAAGGTCAGCTTGCCTTGGTGGACAGGGGAGGGAGTGGGTGTGGCTTGTCTCTTAAAGGGACAGAGCAAACCACTACAGGAGTAATTCCTGATTTTCAGCTAGGCCATGACTGTACCATGTAAAGCGGGTACCTGTTAGATGAAATACTCACATTTAGTGTTTTCCACTTCTTGTTTGTTTGATTGGTTGGTTGGGTTTGGGTTTGGTTTGCTTTTTTGAGACAGGCTATAAAGCCCTAGCTGGCTTCAAACTTAAACTTGGTGCGTTTCTCACTCCTGAGTCCTGGGATGTATAGTTTTTCAGCAATGAAAATCAAAAACGGGTGCCCATGTTCAGAGGAGGAAGGACTGATCTTAATCCAGTCTCCTTTCGATGAGAAAATACAGCAATGTGTTCTAAACTGTTCCTTTGGGGATTTAACTTTTCTTCGATTCAGAGCAGAGCAGAGTCCTAAAGAGAGGAAGCCATGAGACTTCTCTGTGTTTGTTCCTTCATCTGTAAAATGGGCAACAGTATCTGCTAAACATTGCTATGAGGGACTCAGTGTCTTGGTACCAACCCAAGGTATACCTAGCTCTTCCCTGCTTCTACTCTCAGCCTTTCCTTCCATTCCTTTGCCACTCCTCTGACCTGTAGAACTACTCTCTTCCAAGGATCCCCAGCCCCCACACTAGGCTGACAGTCAGGCAGGCTACCTTCATCCTCCCTCTTGCTCCTTATTCGGGTCTTTCCAGACTTACTCTTAGCCCTGGTACAACCTGCCTGTCTGAGCCCCTCTTCCCAGTCCACCTCCACCTCTTTGGGATTCAGCCTCTTGGTTTGGACCTAGTTCTTTTTCACTGCTTCTTTCGACTTTCTATCCCATGTCCATTCCTTTGTGACTCCCTGGCAACCCACAGAAAAGTTCTCCACCAGGGACCCCACATCTGCCACACTTGGCTAAGACCCAGAATCATTCAGTCTCTAGTAGGAACCCCACAGCCACTACATTTGCCTGGGACTCAGAGTGGACAATAGCATCCCCCAAACAGAATACCCATCTAACATAAACAAGACCAGATAGCCACACCTAGAAACACTCCAAACATTATAACTCAAGATTCCTAAATATCACTGCAGAAACAGAAGCATGACCAACCAAGACAATATGCCTCTGCTAGAAGCCATATTGTAATAGGCTCTGAGAAAGACAATTTATCTGAAGTACAAGACAAGGACTTGAAACTAACAAATATGAATATGTTCAAGGAGTATATGGATAAATTCCACAACCAAAACACAGGCAGTTGAATAAAATAATAAAAACATGCAAGATGTGAAAGTAGACTTAACAGAGAAACAAAATAACTAAAGAAAATCCAAGTAAAGATAAAACTGGAAATGAGAAACATAGGCTGTCAAACCAAAAATTACACAGAGAGATACTGGAGTTTTAAAATGTGTCATAAATTACTGGGCATGGTGGCTCACACCTTAATACCAACACTCAGGAGGCAGAGTCAGGCAGATCTCTGTAAATTCAAGGCCAGTCTGATCTACAGAACAAGTTCCAGGAAAGTCAGGTCTTTTACATAGAGAAACACTGTCTCTGGGGGTCAGGGAAAGGAGAGTCATAAAGCAGATGGACCTGACAGACATATCCAGAATATTACACCCCAACACTAAAGATTATACTTTCTTCTCAGAAGCCAAAGGAACTTTCTCTAATTATTATGATATAAAGCAAGTCTCAAGGTATATATGGGTCCTTTCTGACTGTTGTGGACCAAAGCTAGACATCAATAACAATTGAAAGGGTAGAAAGTTATACAAATTCATGGAAGCTGAACAGTTCACTGTTGAATGAAAATCAAGCCAAGACAGAAATCAAGAAGGAAATAAAGAACTTCTTATAACTGAATGAAAATGAATACATAACCTGCCAAACTTAGGGGACACAATGAAGGTGGTTCTAAGAGGAAAGCTGGTAGCATGGAGTGCCCACATTGAAACAACAACAAAAACCTGGAAAAGCTCATTGATAAGAATGAATGGCACACTTGAAAACTCTAGGATAGCAACAAGAAGTAACAGCCACTCCCCATGCCCAGGATTACTTGGCTAACACAAAACAAACTCGGTTGTATTTTTGTCAAATATCTGCTTCATTTTGCTTTGTGCAGTTTTATGTTATTATTGACCTTTTGCTTATATATGACAAGGTAAAGGAGGGAATATGGAGAGGGGTAACTAACATATATGAAAAGTCATATAGAAGCCTAATATGATAGATATTTCCTAAGCATATATAAAAGGAATTTAAATGGGATTACCATGTAATGGTAGAGACAATGCCCCAACTAGTTATCTTATGCCTACAAGAAAAACTTCCAGTGCCAAGAACAGGTTACATTTTATTGAGTCATTAGCTAAAGGGGTCTCATAGACAAGCAACAAATACCACACTCTCTTGTCAAGACTATTGGTTACTCTCTATAATCTGATGGGTAAGACCCTATTGCTGAAGACACAATTTATTTATGTCGTTGAACATGGAGTATCAAGCTGGTGCCCAACTAGAAGCTTCACCTTTAGACTAGTGTTCATGGAACTGGAAAGTACTTTGTTTACTACTGGAGGAGATAAGCTATCAGCTACAAACTTTGTGATCTGCCTGCAAGCCATGCTGGTGCAATAGCTGCACAAACACTGTAGGATTAACCACCATGTGTTTATTGGATTTAAATACTCCAGGAAATAACACCTATGCCAGGTACTGCTAGCGTCACTAAAACCTGAGACTACATAGGTTGTTGGCCCTAGGGGAAAAGCTAATACTATTATTCTGCTAAAGGAGCATAGCAACCAAATGACTCCTAATGGCATATTGCTATACTTATAGATTATAACGCTATGTAACCCTCATCAAAGGAGTTTCTTCTTGCAATGGATGGAAAGTAACACAGGCAGTGTGCATTGAGCAATGGCCCTCAATGTGGAGCACTGAGTCCTAAATGGGATGCCTTTATTAAGCCCTTTCCCTCAAGGCTCAGGGGTCTTTGCAGAAGAAGAGAGGGAAAGGTTGTAAGAGCTAGACAGAGGTGGTGGTGACACCAAAAAAATATTGTCTTCCAGACACAGTAGGACTGACACACACATGAACTCACAAATGCTGTGAGAGCACACACAGGAGCTGCACAGGTTCAAACCAGACAGAATCCCAGCCCTGAGCCGGGGAAGTGGACACAGAGTCCCGGCCCTAACTAAGAAGCTCTTTGCAACTGATACCTGCTAGGAAAGGGGAAATTCATTTTCTCCAATGGAGTGTTTCTGAGTCTATCAACCAAATTCCAGGCCAGGCCTCTTGTCCAGGAGAAGTTGGCCAACACAAAACAGACTCTGTGTTTTGTTTTTGTTTTTGTTTTTGTTTTTGTTTTTGTTTGAGACTGTGCTTGAGAAATAGTTTCTGGGTAACTCAGTGACTTAAGTGGTACAAAGTTTGTTTTGTCTTGATTTCGTTTTGTTTTGGTGGGGTTTGTTTGTTGCTGTTTTTTTTGATTTAGTTTTTTGTTGTTTTTTTTTTTAGGAGTTTGGTGGGTTTTCTTGGAGAAAGTGGAAAGAACACGAAGTTGTGTAGACATGAAGATAGAAAGGATCTGGGAGGACTTGGAGAAAGAAAGAATATGATCAAATATATTTTGTGAAAAAAAATTAAACAAAAATTAATTAACTAATAAAAAGATTGCTGTGAGGGCTGAATGAGGAATATATGTCAAATGGACTCAGTTCTTAAATACAACAGCTTCAGTTTCACAGAATGAAGGTCTTATTCTTTCTGGACTTTAAAGTCTGGTTCTCAGAGTTTCCAAGAGGAAATTTCCTCTTGGTTTAGTATATCTGGACCAGATAAGAAACATTAAAGAACCATGGATGGAAAAAAAAATGACATAAAGAAAATTCTCATTGGCATTCCTTGTCACTAAGGGGATTCTAGTCACAGAGCAAATCTGCTGTGGTTACCAATCACACCCAGGCCCCATGTACATGACATTGGGAAAATGGACTTTGGCAAATGCCCTTTCACCATAGAGCACAACAGGAAAGAAAAATAATGTATACGTGCTGGAAGTGAAACCCAGCCGTGTCTTACGTGTCCAAAGCATTATCTCTGCCTTAGAGCTACACTTCCACCCCAACCTGACTAACTCCTTGTACTTCTTTTATTTACACAGGACGGAACAGGTGCCTAGGAAGGACTCGGTACTGTCTGTAAGGCCGCCCACCCCTTAAGCATACATTAGTGGCTTCTAGCACAAACTCAGATGTCAAAGCTGCCCTTGGAGTTAGAGGAGGATACATAATTTTTTCATATATTGTTTTCTTTTCAATGCAGTAGCATCATAAAGATAAATTTGTATGATTCGATTAATAGGTCTACAGGTGTAAACACCTAGGAAGTAGACTGCTTTGGAAAGATGAGCTGTTCCTGTCTTCAAAGCCTTAGAGTCATCTTAAAAAAATAATGAAGTTTGGCTTATTGTAATTTTCTGTTAATAGCTCAAAGTAATTTTGAATTAAGACTATGTTTTCTCCTGGTGTTTCAAAACAACACATCATTTCTCTATCCAAAATTTTCTGCAACAAATACTGCTAGGCAAGTGATAAATTTTGAAGCCAGATCTTAAGGAATAAAACTCTTTGATGAACAACATCTGTCAGTTTCTGTGGTATAGACTTCAAGCATTGCCGGTTTCCAGTAACCAAAAGATAGTTCTCAAAAGTAAGCTCTGAGCAGGTCTGTATAGGAACTGGCTCTAACGAACCAGTTTGAGCTGTCTCTGACACGGCCCTGTCATTGGGTCAACTCACCTAGGAGCTATCTTTCAAACGCAGTCTCAGGGAACAATATGCCCTTGAAGCGAGGAACACACCGCAGTCCAGGGTTCGAGACTTGATCCCTCTGTGGCTATAGAAGTTATCCAAAGAATGTGGTTGGCTTTGATTTGTATGAAAATTGTGGTGTGAGCCTTTTCTTTATGGCTTCTGCTCTTCCCGGATCAGACCAGCCTGGCAATCAATTAAGAAATGTTGGTAATGATGACAATATAGGTCAAAGATGGCTCCCGGAGATTTGCCAAGGCCCTTGATGATGTCACTTCTTGGTCGAGTTCCAAGAGCGCCTATCTGATTCTCTATCAGTAGTACATTATTGACGGTGCCCTCTGTGGCCGCATTGCCTATCATGTTATTGAAGCTGAAGCTATTCATAGATGTGAAGAGCTACCGCCTTGAAAAACAGGTATAGCTGTTATTAGAGCCAACTTCTAAGAGGAATCTGATGCAAAGTCCCCCATGTAGAATGTCAAGACAGCGGAGGAGCATGCATGAAGCATCATGGACATAAGAGACCCTTGGTGCAGACCAAGGGGATGTCATGGATCCTTTCTCCAGAATATTCCCCAGGTAAATTGGTGAAAATGGAGATGAATAACTGGCCATAATCGCACCCATTTCCCCCTGATTCTATGAAGCTCCTCCTGCCTGTGGGCTGGTCCCGATCAGTTTACATCATTCCCTCCCTTTCCACACTGGATCGGCTCTGGAGGCTTGCTATCTCCCCCATCTCTCTCACATTTTGTGGACAAACAGGTACTTCTGTCTCTGGTTAGGAGTGGAGAGACTGGAAAAACCTCACTGCAGAAAGACCTCGGATGACCTGCCAGAGGCAGCTCCCGGAATCTGTTTAACCAGAGGCAGAGTTTCCAGGCTGCCCTTCACGGGACACTGTGTTTCCTGCGATGAGGAAGGGCCGCATCTTTCTGAATCCTGCTAACAAGAAACCACTTCACAGAATCCAGGAAGGAACACAGAGAAAATGTGTGGTAAACCACACAGATGTTATCTCTTGCATGCTGAGGCCTCTGACAGTTCACTGTTTAACCCATAACTTTCTCTTAACTACTGTGTGCTTACCCACACTGACACTTAACTACTGATGAGTCTGTGTCCAGGAGACAGTTTGGCATCCTATTCTCTAGTCTCAGAACCATCCCAGAGATTAGTATACAGGATCACACGCCTTCCAAATGAGGCAACTAAACCTTGAGGGGGTTCAAAAGCTAACAAATTGGAAACATCAGATTTGAATTCCTGTCATTGTATCTTTTCACTCCAACTGCTATGATACATGACAGGGGCTCAAAGGAAGGTCCAGGGACAGTGTCAGGTTAAGATAATGGCCTGGAAGTTGCCTCTTGGTGACCTGGGTAAGAAGACTCCACATAGGAAAGAATCCTTTATTCCAAAGACAGAATGGGGGAGAACTTTGAAAATTCACAAAAGTAACGACAGAACCACTGGAAAGTGTCAGGAAAAAAAGACAGAGCATGGCAGAGAGAATACTCACACACACACACACACACACACACACACACACACACACACACACTTTTCAACTTCAGCCTTGAGGCCCTCCTCGAAGCAGACACCTCATTAAAGAGGTCAGCGTGGCATTCCTGGTGAAGGGAGGAGCCGTACACCTTCCAGATGTGCCCGCTAGAGTCCTCACCACACACCCTCTAGAGGAGCCCACCAGAGTCCACACGAGTCCCAAATTCAGTTGCTGGCTTGGGTAAGACAGTGGTTCCTTGGCCACAGGTCAGCTGTGGAGCGGAGTCCCATCTTGTCACTCTGTATAACTGCAAGCAGTGTTCGGGCGCTATTCGAGAGAAAACCTACAGTTTAAACCTCATCTGCCCTGGAACGTGGAAACGAGGGACAATTCGAGGCCAGGGAACCAGAATTTAACCTGCTACAGCTTTAGGATCAGAGACAAGCCTGGGAGATAGCTGTGGAAAGGGGGGGTCGGTCCCGGACAAGCCAGAAAGCACAGGCGCCCAGTGGTTCCACTCAGGCAGAGAGATGCACTAGGGAAGATTCTCTGCCTTTGGCGTCTGGGAGCAGACCTTGATCCCCTGGGTGGATGAGCCTCTTGAGAATCCGTCTCCTCTGCTGGAGAGCACGAACACACCCCCACAACTGCATCTATCTAGCGCTGAAGCCGACATTTTTCCACATGCATTGACCTCGGTGCTGTGGTTACCCCCTCCAGACCCAAAGCACTTGGGAGACACCCTCAGCTAGAGCGCTAGCCACCCCAGGGGATGCAATGTGGAGGGTCTCTGGAGGTGTGAGAAACCTGTCTGCAAGGTTTTTAAATTTTTGGTCCCTTTAAAAAAAAAGTTCAAACCTTTCCCATTTCCCTTCCATTTATTTCTCTTCCATTTATTATTTGCACGTTTTCTTAAAATAGTTTGTGATTTTATAAGACATTCCACACTAGTTTTTGCTCTTTCTATTTTGCTATCATCGGTGACACATTCGTGGGTATTCATTGTTTTTCAGTGAATGCCTAGTGCCTGTCTCCTTGACACCATTGCTACTGGAGGAGTTTGGGCTTTGCTGAAACAGTTAAAAGAATACTACATAGGGAACGGGAAGAAAGACAGAATGATGAGAGCAATCAAAAGAATGAACTTCATGAGAGTAATGTGCAGCAAAGGAAAGCTAGAAATTAATTGATCGTGTGTAACCTAGTAAACTAGAAAAATCCCTAATACTAACATGGACGAAAGAAATAAACAGGGCTGCAAAGTAGGATCAGCATTCAGGAGCATATGCTGTTCTTCCAGAGGACCCTGGTTTGATTCCCAGCACCCATATGGCAGCTTACAGCCATCTGTAACTCTAGTCTCATGGGAACCAATGCTGTGTAACAATCCTTTTATACACTATTAATATGTATTACTTGCATTGGTTAATAAAAAGTTGACAGCCCAGTAGCTGGAAAGAAAGTATAGGCAGGACAGTCAGAAACAGGGGACTCAGGGAAGAAGAAGGAGGAGTCAGGGGAGACACCCAGCCAGCTGCCAGACAAGGATGTGTAGAAAATGAGATAACGTGCCATGAGGCAAATGGCAAAGCACAAATAGAAATATGGGTAATTTAATTGTAAGAGTTAGCTAGTAACAAGCCTGAGCTCTTGACAGAGCACTTATGAATAATGTTAAGTCTCTGTGTGGTAATTTGGAAGCAGTTGTCAGGAGAGGAAAAAGTTCAACTACAAATCAATGCCATCTTCTGAACTTTGAGGGCTCCAGGCACACATGTGGTACACATACATACACGGAAGCAAAACACTAACATACCTAAAATAAAACAAATAAACCTTCAAAAATGAAAACAATCCAGCCAACCAGAAAACAACAAAAACAATTACTGGAATTAGTAAACACAGCAATTAATATAATTGCCTTCACTGTAGTTGTCTCAAATCACCAGTAAAGAAATGCAAACTAGTGACTGGATTAAAAATCAAGACCAACTGTGCATTGCCTGCAGAAAAAAACCACACCTCATTGGTAAAGACATCCACAGGCTGACAGCCAAAGTCTGAAAGCCCGTCTTTCAAGCTAGTGGAAGCTGAAAACAAGCTGGTGTGGTAATTCTGACACTTAATAGTGAAGATTTCAAATTGAAATTAGTCAGACGAGATGATGAAAGCTACTACCTGTTAATAAAGAAAATAATCATCAAGAAGAAATAACAGCTGCAAATATATATGTGCTGAACAGTGGAGCTACCAATTCCATAACAGAATACGAATGAGCATAAAATGTTTGATTGATACAGCAAACATGGGTGATGTCAATACCCTAGTCTCATCTTTAAATAGGTCATCTAAACAACAACAACAACTGTCATTCCTTTTGGTCTCTGGTCCCTTTAAGGGGCAAGTCACGCCCACTCCCAGTGACTTCTGACCTCTCGTCACCATCTTTCTTTCTGTTCCCTCTCTTGGTGTGTGCACACGTGTTTTCTGTCTTTTCTCTCTCTCCTTTTCTCTGTTTTTGTCTTTCTTTCTCTCCCTCTCCTTCTTCCTCTCCCTTTCTTTCTCTTCCCCCTCCCCTTTTCCTTAATAACCCCCTGAATAAATATTTTAATCTCATTTTACATGTCCATGTCTCTGTCTCCTGCCTGCCTGCCCACAGCCAGCTCTGACGCTCGCCGCGGGGAATCTGCACCACTCTGGCAGCCATCTCTGCCTGGTTTGTGGCTGCTCTGTGAGCCCACTGCCCGGGGATCTTGGGCAGATCTTGGGGGCACACCAGCATTTTTAAGGAATATTAACAACAACTTCAACAAAGGATACCTCTGAGTTAAAGTGTTCCATAGATCAAATTGACTTAATAGCTAGATCACAAGTATTCCATCCAACAGATGTGGAATTACACATTTTTCCCCAGTAGCCAGTAGAACATTCTCTAAAACAGAACACATTAGGTAATCAAATCTTAATACATACAACATAATCAAATAATTTCTAGTAACTTAATAGTGGCATAGAATTATAAATAAATAGCAAGAGAAACCACAGAAAGTTTACAAATACTTGGAGAATAAAAAAAATACACTATTAAATGGCAAGTAGAGCATCAGCAAAATCAGAAAAAGGGATTTCAAGTGTGCTATGATATAACCCTCTTGTATTCTGTAAATATGTTTCATTCCCATTGGTTAATAAAATAGCTGATTTGACCTATAGCAAGGGAGGATAGAAACAGGAGGAAAATACAAGCAGAGATACAGAGAGAAGGGCAGAATCAGGGAGCCACCAGTCAGTGCCAGCTGCTGCCAGAGGAGCAAGATGTATGTATTAAAGCACAGGTAAAGTCACAAGACACATGATAAAACATAGATTAATAGAAATTGGTTAATTTAAGTTGTAAGAGATAGTTAGTAATAAGCCTGAGCAATAGGCTAAACAGTTTGTAATGGCTAGTAAGCCTCTAAGTGGTTATCTTAAAAGCGGCTATGGAACCGAGTGGGAAAAAAATCTCTGTTTACATAAGTGTTTCTATAATCAAATGTTGTGGAATATTATTTTAAGATGCATTACATTTGTTTATGCTGTGGAACACAGGTTTAATGATGGAAAGATATGTTGCAATCTTTTATGTTGCATTTGTTTAGCTCAGTGAAGCTGTGTTATTTATGTCTG